TTAGAAAATATGAGGTTCTGCGAAAGGCCAACGCCGAAGTTCAGCGGAGGAACTTGTGGTGAATACTGGGAGTTCAAGGGACCCTTCCAGCAACACGTTGGGATGCCGCAGATACTTAATGCTTTGAAATTAGAGACATTTTTCGTCGCCTACGCCAGCTCCGCTAAGGATGCTTTGCGAGGATGCCTGCAAATACAAGATTTCAAGACATGGTACAAGGAAGCTTTGGACATATAAGGAAAAATAAGGAACGGCTATGTGGATAAGGTGCATAAATACAAAAGGAAGCAAGGGAAGCCTCCTGGGATCGAGTGGATGTTGGAATTCACTATGGATATGGTCGACAAGGCGGAGGAGGCCCCAAAAGGACAAGGACTGAAGGAACCAAGCAGAATATATGCAGACTCACCCTCACGCCAATCCTCGTCGAGGAGGAAACTTGTGGGTCTGGTGACATGAGGAATAAAGACAACCAGAGAAACGGACGATGAACGCTGCGTGTTATGCAGCGGAGATCACCTTCTTCAAATGTGCCGGACATTCCTCAGCATGTCCACAGGGAAGCGAACTTCCCTTGTAAGGGAAGAACGTTGCTGCTTCGCCTGCCTGGGTCGTAAACACCGGATAACGGAGTGCAGCCAGAAGATGGTATGTGGTATAGATGGCTGCTCTGGAGTACACTAGAGGCTTCTGCACTTCACGGGAGTTCTGACGAGCAGTGGCAAGGCGCAACGGGGCGAAGTTGAAAAAGGAGAACACCAGATCAGTTTCCAAAGGGTGAATAGAGCAATCACTGGTGGCACTTACCAAATAGACATATCACCTGACCACAAGCGACCTAGAATGAGTCAACTTAAGGCTATTATGCCACCACCGGAATCGGCAACTAGTGGAGCTAAATCATGGAAGACCGAAGCCGGTACAAGCACCATGGGGAAAAGGACTGGGAGTACACAAAGCGTGCTGGTGTCAACGAGTAGAGGAAATCCACATAGATGGGTCAGGAAAACCATAACCAACAACGGAATTGATGATCGGCGTGAAGAACCAAATGATTGCCAGTTGTGATTACAAGAGTCCAGTAAAGTTGCACTCCCAATAGTGAAAGCCAGGATGGAGGAGAAGAACCAAGAGGCGAAGGAGCAGTGGTCACTGGAGCTCTCTTAGATTCAGGCAGCAACCAATCATACTGCACGAGTTGTCTAGCTAACCGGCTGCAGGCAGAGGGAAGGCCAGTTTTTTCCCTCTCCATTGTCACGATCATGAAATAAAGAAGTAGTGTAAACACCGAAGAGATCAGTGTAAAGGTGGTTAGCGTAGGAGTAAGAAAGAGTCGATCCATAACTATCCCCATGGTCATTGTTGTTGAGAATTTACAATCTTATCCGAGAGTTTTCGGTCAAAGACACCCAAGACGTCACCATGTGGGAACACCTCCGAGGTACTGCACTACACCAAGCACCTAAAGAGTGTATCTCCTGTTAGCTCTGGATGTACCATATGTATTAGTGGATAAAGCAAGTCAGGAACTTCTGGGAATGCGACTCCGCCTACAGTAACGATGATCCCGTCCCTGTCGAAGACAAGAGAGTCCTGATGCAGTGGTCAACGTCAATTACTCAAGTGGACGGACACTACAAACTTCCCATCCCGTTTCACCATGAAGAACCGGAACTCCCTACAATAAGAAGCTTGCCAAACAGTAATTGGCAGGACTGAGAAAAATGCCTCCTAAAGAACCCAGGGCTCTCTCAGAAGTATCAAGAAAAGATGTGAAGTCTAGTCGACGAGGGACATGCTGAGCGAGTCCCACGTCAAGAACTCAGTGATGCACCCGGGAAGACCTGGTATCTCCCACACCACCCCATGTTGAATCCAAACAAGCCAGAAAAGGTGAGACTAGTTTTGATTGTGCAGCCGAATATGAGTCGATGTCATTGAACAGCCAAGTGATGCAAGGGCCAGACCTTAACAACAATTTGATGGGAGTCCTCATCAGATTCGGACAAGGAGAGGTGGCACTCATGGCTGATATCGAGGCAATGTTCCACAAAGTGCGAGTAGTACCCGAACATCGAGACGTCTTACGATTCTTATGGAGGACGGACAACCAGCTGCCAGGGGCCCCCACCACCTACCGAATGATAGTGCATCTCTTTGGAGGTATGTGTAGCCCTTCATGTGCTGGGTATGCTCTACAACGAACATTCCAAGATTACAGGGAAAGTCTCCATGACGACATCAAGAAAGCGAATCGTAACTTCTACGTTGACAATCTGCTTATCTCAGTAGATTCGCCGGGGAAGGCAACGATAATTACCCATTGACTGAGACAGCTGATGAAAAAGGGCGGATTCAGACTTATGAAGTGGGTCTGTAATCACAAGGAGGTCCTCAAGGCAATTCCACAGACAGAGAAAGCCGTGGGAGTAAAGGAAGTAATTTGAAAGACGACAAGCTCCCCACTGAACGAGCGCTGGGAATCTTGTGGGACCTGGAAAAGGACGAACTAGCAGTCCGGATCCAGATCCCTAAGAAACCTGAGACGAAACGAGGCCTTCTGAGTATGGTCAGCTCCATATATGACCCACTGGGACTCATCGCTCCGAGTGTCACAAGAGCCAAAATTATATTCCAAAATCTGTGTAGATGAGGTGTTGGGTGGGATGAACGAATGGCTGAACAGAACAGGGTGGCTTGGCGAAGATGGCTAGATGAACTTCCTCACCTATCAGAGGTACACGTTCCACGGTGCTACCCACCCGAGGATGCAAATCCAGTGGCTGCAGTGCAACTACACCACTTCTACGATGCCTCCCAACAAGCTTATGGAGTTGTATCATATCTGAGGACTACATGTGAAGATGGAACCCACCATATCTCCTTCGTGTGTGACAAGGCCAAGCTAGCCCCTCTGAAACAGTAGACCATACCTTGACTCGAGCTCTATGCGGCAGTACTGGTTGCCAAGGCAGACAAACAACTACGACGAGAACTTGAATTACAAATAGACAGATCAGTGTTCTGGACAGACGCTTCCATTCCTTCGTGGCCAATCGAGTGGCAACAATACACGAGGACTCTAATGCAGAACAATGGCACCACGTGAAGTCGGCACTGAACCCAGCCGACGACGCTAGTCGTGGACTACATGGAGCAGAGCTCAACGAAGAGGGCAGGTGGATTCCAGACCTCACAGACGGAGACCCAGAGGTGAAGAAGGAAGCCACAGTGCTGAAGACGAACGCTGACCAGAGGGAGGGTATCCTCGATAAGCTATGGGCCAGGTACTCCTCGTGACATTGACTTCTGAATAGCGTAGTGTGGATTAGAAGGTTTATAGAATGGCGGCTGGGGAAGCGAAAGAACAAACATCACCGAAAACATCGACTCAAGGTCAGCAAAGTGGAAGATGCAAAATTAGTTGTCTTAAGATTTATGTAAAGGAAAGGATTCCCTCGAGAACTTGGAATGTTACAACAGGGTCAACCCGTGGGAGGTAGCGACGTGAATCGGCTGGAACCTCATCTAGACACGCACGGTTTGATCAGAGTAGGCGGCCGACTGAAACATGCCGCTCTCCATCCAGACCAGAAGAATCCCATACTGTTGCCGAGGGGCAAAAGGATCACGGGGCTCATTGTGAGAGAGGTACACTCGACTAGAGCTGGACACTCAGGACGAGAACACACTCTTGCCATAATACGTGGGACATACTGGATACCTAAGTGCCGCAAATTACTCGACCGCACAATACGGACGTTTGTGACTTGTCGGAGAAACAACTGGAGGCCTACCCACCAACGCCAAGCCGACCTGCCAGAAAATGGAAGCATGCCCAATTCATCGCAGACCAATTTTGGAAGAGGTGGGTAAAGATATATCTCCCAACACTACGTCAGTGACGAGGATTCTTCAAAAACTCGCCTTAATCTCCACGCTGGGGTTATCGTGATCACCTCTGGACAACCCTTCCCCAGGAGTCAGTGGATGCTAGAGAGAATACTGGAGGCACTACCGAGCGCAGATGGCCTGGTGCGAAGTGTTAAAGTGAAGACAAAGGACGCAGTGTTAATACGCCCAAGGACGAGACACTGCTTGTTGGAAGGGGTCGGAGAGTGAATCTAATGGCAGGCCGTAATTTCGTGCGAAGCCCGACAGGGGAAGTGTTATCGCCACGCATAATTGTTTGTGCCGGCCACATGTTAAGTGAAGAAACTGTTTACAGCTCAGAATAGCTTACTAAGCAAGATGGAGCTGGTAGCAGCTGTGTGACTGCCTGAGGGACAGTCTATCGCCCTCTTCTGTAAAGGCAACATCTTGATTCTCGTCAACCAACATTTCTCCTGCAGGACATTACATTTGTTCTAGTTGATCTAACCCTAGACCCCATAACGCGAGTGTGATTATGAACTGTTGAATCCTCTGAGAACTCTAAATAACTTTAATATGTGTAATTATGTACTGTATATTGATGGTATTATTCAAACTGTGGCCTGATGTACCAGCAGTTGTTATATGTGAATTGTATTCAACAGGTTTTGACCGAATAATACTCATCGCGTCAACGACAAGGGTCTTATTGTCCTGCACAAACCAAAATCGCTCCTATGAGCAATTACAAATACAGTACTCTAATTTGTTTCTGCAACTGAGCTAAATCATCTTCTGTGGCTACTCCGTACGAAGCCCTTTGAATGTAACCAAGAAAATTTAGAAGACCTCTCTTCTTTTTACCCTCTTCACTATGCGCAGGGGGAGCAATAGGAGAAGGTGTGGTGGTTGTATCCAAGTAGGAGTGTGAAAACTGGTGAATAATGAGGTCCAAAGATGATTTGGTATGCTCCAGTTGAGCGTGTATATGAGTGGCATCCACAGTAGACTCATTAACCCTTTTTGCGAAATAGACAAAGTCATTAGACTAATTAGACAATGTGGCGACAATATTACGTAATGGTTCACATTATACGCGTATCGCGAACATATGTCTAATAAATTATTCATTCTGGGGAGGAGACACTAAACAACCGCGCCGTGACGGCTCGTGTATCAGTAGCCCATGAATCATGCAGAGAATGAGTAAGAACATCATGGTTCTGCAAGTAAAAGTTACTCATTAGAACAGCAATGTCAGTCACAAGTGGATCTAATACGCAAATAACATGTAGGAGAAGAAAGAACAGTAGGAGTAACAAAAGGCTCAGTGGCACCTGGTGGCTAAGTTGCTCCTTGGGCATTCAGAAACTTGAGGTTGTCCTGTGTTCATGTATTGTTTCTCCTGTGTGTGTGTGTTTTAACTAGTACCTGTGACCTGACTCGTGTTGAATAATTATATATGGACCGACGAACATAGGGTCCGTTTTGGAGTCTTACATGATTTTTTAACCATCGCTAGACGACCTACGACATTGCCAATGGGCCGTGTACTTTTATTGCATTCGGCGGTGAAGGCGTTAGTCGCTTTTTCTAACTCATGCGAAATTCGCTGGTGAATCAGTTTGGAATGTCGATACCATTCGCCGATGAAATCGTCACCGAAAATTCGCTGTCTCCTTACTTCAACCTCGAAGGGAAGTCGGCTGTCATAATAGTAGAAAGCTAAGAGAGGTGTGTCGCCAATGGATTGATGATAAGGACTGTTAATAGAACTTTGTACGTAAAACATACACTCATCCCAGTTCGAGCTAGTAAATTCTAAGTTAGTAAGAAGATGATTAAGAATCTTCCTGTTAAGTCGTTCACCCATCCCGTTGGCTGCAGGATGATGAGCTGTAATATTACATCTGTTAACGTGATACAGTTCACATAATTTAGTTACCAGCGCATTGTTAAATTCACCTCCATTATCTGTAAGTAGAACGTTAGGAGTGTCATGCCTATCGAGAATACGACTCTTAAAGGTTCGGGCAATTGTCTCTGCGATTTTATCAGGGATAGGTGCTAGTTCACAATAGCGTGTAAACGTGTCTATCATGACTAAAAGATAGTTATTATTATGATAAGTCTTTACTAAATCACCTAAAACATCCATGCTAAACTTCTCCCAAGGACGAAAGGGTGTAGGATATTTGAGAACAGGGAGAGGTGCTAAAGTAATACCTTTATTCTCGTTACAAATTTGATAATTGTCCACATTATCGGAAATCTGTTTAGCCATCTTGGGCCAAAAGTACTTTAATCACATTTGTATAATGCATCTGTCCTTGCCTGGGTGAGCTAGTTGTGGAGTTCGTGCATAAGGACTAATAGCTCGTGCACAAGCGAAGTAGGTATGACGAACAGGAACACCAAGTTTGGCTTGCCGGCAAAGAACATTATAGTGAACAACAAATTCACGAGTAGTGGAGGTTTCTCCCCTGGTGTACGTTCCATCGATAGGTAATCATGCAAAGAAGAGAAAAAATCGGACTGACGCTCATTAGCACAAGCTGACCTCCAAGCCTTCTTAAACCCTACCTATGTAGAGATTTTCCTCATTTCCCCATACGCAGCAATAAAACTAGCCTCGGATTGAGGGCCCTTATGGTCAATCAGATTGTGGGCACAATTAATAATCTGGGCGTCTGTTGGGTATGCGCCTGTACACTCTGACCTAGCATACTCTACACAGGTGGCAAACCAGGCCTCAATCTCGATCAAATCCCCTGAAAAATATGGGTACTTGAGGTGGAGATTGGTATATCTGTGATTTAACACTTGGAGTGGAGGGGTGGCTGGACTAGACATGTCTGAACATACACTTCTCATGATTTTACCAAACCTATTGAATACTACGGTGATCGGAACACTTGATGATTTACGCCTTAATTTATAGCCATGGGACATAGAGAGAGTGTTTGTTACAATTACGAACTATAACTTATATCTGTAATCGTCCTAATTACCAGAACAGACGTACTATAAAATACTCCCAAGGTATGTCATGAACTCAACACTTCACTGGTTAACTAAAAATGAGTACAATTAGTGTATAAACAACTTAACCTGGATAGAAGTCTTAACAGTTGTGTGAGATGTGGATCTCAGCTGCTCAGTGAGGTGGAGAGCGGAAGAAGTGAGTGGCGCTTTCCCTAGCTGTGGTGTGGTGCTCCTTCATCACTCAGCTGATGGTGTTAAGTCATTGAATATACTGTAGTGCAATAGTTGCATTGTGGAGAAAAACGTAATTCTTCTCCACTGGGGTCGGCGAATATCGTGAGTCAGGCTCTACGAGGAAGGTGATTCTCGGCACTGACGACAAATCTCGGCGTTGTTTAATGACATGCTCATAAGTCAGTCACAAGTCACTGATTATGTGGTTGAACTTCCCATAGCAATGGGAGGCTGGAACCTTACACTGGGCTTCACTGGACATTTCTCACTGACGTTGATCGCTATAATGAGCACTTAACTGATGACAGGTATCACTTAGGAACTCAGTAATGATGAATCAGAAGATGTCTTGTAACTTGTAGACCCGGTGTAGACGTAGAAGTGAATGCTTGTAGACATCGGTAGATTCCATAACTCGTGGTAAGTCGTAGACACGGTAACTCTCTTCAGAGGTTATTTAATATCCCACCGCTGCCACTGTCTAAAAGGAGTGGGACTTGCGGGGAGACGGTTTCACTTAAAAAATATTTCTTATGGTTATTTAGAGTTCCATTGTGATCAGCAAGGTGTCGGGACCGTCGTTAGTTGATGTCTGCCGTGGTTTGACTTCTTCAATAAATGTGATATGAGATATACATGACGGTTGTGTGTACAGTATATTAAAGTGTATTATGTAGAAGCAATTATATACAACTGTGCAGAGAGGGCTGGCCCGGTGATCTAGGACAGAGATAGTCTAAGTGTTAGAAGTTCTAGAGCTGAAGCTGGTCTTAGTGATAGATGTTAGGTCTCAGTGGTAAATGTGTGCTCTATGAGGTCCAGCAATAGACTAAAATCAGGCCCAGCAGGCGGCCACGCCCGGGTGTAATTCACACAGGCCCGTAAGGGTGATCTATGAGTCATACCTTCAAGAAGGTTCTCCGAGGATGAAACGCTGCAATGCATCACCTCCTTGGAATGCACTGCCGTTAACAAGTCAGCAGTGTTATGGTAACGTTTTATAAATAACAGGTTGGAAATGACCTCGTTGAGCCATGCTTCATTCTTAACTGATGGTTCCACTCCCTACATATGCTAAATAACTATATCAAATTCTTGGGAATTGCAAGTGTAAAGCAAAGTATCAAGTCAGTTTTTCCAAAAACTCCCTACTTCCTCATAGGGGATTGAATCCTACTGCAAAAATCTTGTAGTCATTACAGTCAGCCAGTCAGCAGGTCTAAATGCCGGCTGCTATGTCTATGCCAAGTGCTCGCCCCTCTGAACTACCTCTAACCTCTGCAGGTCAATGAATAATGAATGTTCATAATTATGCATCCATGGTTGTAAGTTATAAGTTACTGGTTATGCACACACACACACACACACACACACACACACACACACACACACACACACACACACACACACACACACATACACACACACACACACACATACACACACACACACACACACACACACACACACACACACACTACTAGGAATTACTTGATACGCACTATCCCTGATATCGGACCCCTCCTCTATCCTCTGGAAGAAGCCACCAGCATCAATTAGTGAAACACCTTCACTTAACCCCAGCAGGAAGGTCAATCCTTGCACTACCACCGAGACTGGGAGGAATGGGATTGACTAATCCAGAGGAGCTTGCTGCCACCCAACATCAAAACTCAGTCAAGCTCACGACAGCCCTCACTGAGAACATAATAGCTCTGAATGCAACAAGTGAGGTGGATACCAACGAATTAAACAAGATTTGACGGTCCATTACGAAAGATCGACAGCAAACACAAAGTGATGAACTGCAGCAACTGATGCTGTAATAGTCAGAGAACTTGTAAAGAAGTATATACAGTATAGCACAGGAGGTGGGCGTCTCGAACTGACTAACAACATTACCGATAAGGGCAAAAGGTTTCAGCCTTAAGAAACAAGAATTCACAGATGCCATTGCCCTAAGGCACAGTAGGCTAGTAGAAGGTTTGCTCTCCCAATGCGTGTGTGGTTCATCATGCGACATTGACCACACCATGGTGTGTAAGAAAGGGGGCTTCGTATGCATGAGGCATGGCAAAGTAAGAGATCTCACAGCAAATTTACAGAAGGAAATGTGCCACGACGTCACTGTGGAACCGACCCTTCTTCCATTGGGTGCTGAGAGCCTCCACCCCAGGGCCTCCAAAACATTTAACGAAGTCCATGTGGACCTAAGTGCTCGAGGAAACTGGACGTGGGGACAGCCAACCTTCTTTGATGTCAGGATATTCGACCCCATGGCCACATGTCACTGTAACCTGTCCCTTGAGGCTGCACACAAGAGGAACGAAAACGACAAGAATAGGGCGTAAGCAGAAAGAAATCAGAATGTAGATAATGCAGCTTCACACCTTTGGTGTTCACAACCTCTGGCGGGATGGGACCAAGTGCAAGACGCTTCTACACAAGACTGAGGGAGGTGTAGTCCGAGCAGAAGTAGCAGCCCAGAAGCCACGGTGCAGCCTGGTTGAAATGTCGACTGCCCCTCTCTCTGGTTAGGTATGCATTGCTTTGCCTCAAGGGACTGAGATCTTCGGCCCCAAAGCTGACAACAGTCTCAGATATTGACTATGAGGCAACAGTCATTGAATGCTGCCTAGATTTGTGACTTAACTAACTCAACATAGCTAGGGTAGTTACTTTTGTATTAGGATATTTAATTTTAAGGCAATAAAATGACGGCGAAAGTCATTCTCATCCCTCCTATGAGCAGAGTCGAGAGCTAGATTATGGTGACATGTGGCCATGGGATCAAAAATCTGTATGTCAAAGAAGGCTCGCTGTTCCAGCATTCAGAATCCTTTAGCAATGACGTCCACACGGACTTCATTTGATGTGTTTGAAGTCCTGTGATGGAAATTCTCACCATTCAATGGAAGGAGTGTCGTTTCTACCCTGACGTCATGACAGATTTCCTTCAACATATTTGCTGTGAGATCCCTTACTTCGTCGTGCCTCATGCATACGAAACCCACTTTCTTGCACACCATGGCGTAGTCAATGTCATAGGAAAAGCCACACATGCATTGGGAGGGCAAACCTTCTACTGGCCTAACCTACCTTAGAGTAATGGCATCTGTAAATTCTTGTTTATTGAGACTGAAACCTTTTGCCCTTATCGGTAACATTGTTAGCCAGTGCGAGGCGCCCACCTCCTGCGCTATAGCTACTTTTTTTCAAGTTCTCTGACACTTGCTGCATCAGTTGCTGCAGTTTATAACTTTGGGTGTGCTGTCGTTCAGTCGTAATGGACCGTCGAATCTTGTTTAATTCGCTGGTATCCACCTCACTTGTTGCATTCTGAGCTATTATGTTCTCAGTGAGGGCTGTTGTGAGCTTGACTGAGTTTTGATGTTGGGTGGCAGCAAGCTCCTCTGGATTGGTTAATCTCATTCCTCCCAGTCTCGGTGGTAGTGCAAGGATTGACCTTTCTGCTGGGGTTAAGTCCGAAATCAGGCATATTGCGCATCAGGTAATTCCAGCGATGCTTGACTTCATGGGTGAATGCCGCAAAAGGAGTATGTGGTTCTGTTTTAGCAATACCAGACAGAGCTTGGATTTTCTTCACCCACTGATTTACCTTTACTGTTACATACTCGGTCTTGAAGTCCTTCGTGCCGATTACCGCACCTAGATGTCTTTGGCCCTCGTTTGTTATTTTGACCTCACTTAAACTGAACGCCTCCACTTCCCGTTCATAGTGTTATGGCTTCACAAAGAGGAAGGACTTGCTGGCATTTGGGTGGAACTTTATTTGTGGACCACGTGATATTATCAGGTCCCACAACTTTTTCATGTCCAACTTTTCCTGTTCCTGTAAGGTCATCAGCATAAGCCACTTACTTGACCACGGTTGTTTCAAATTTTATTGTGTGTTGGAGCACGGTTAAGCCTAGTGCGTACATTGCCATGGTAATAGGGTCCCCCTGCGTTGTTTCCTCAGTTGACTGTATGATGGTATCTCCTCTTAGAGCCTTGAAGGTTGTTATATAGAAGTCTGATGGATTCTTATAGGTGTTTTCAACA